CGTGTGCTCCGTACCCATAGGCAACACGCCTGCACGCCTGCATGCGGGCCAGTATACCACACCTGCTCCGGGCGATCACCCTGTGTGAGTGAGCGTGAGTTGTCCCCCTCAGCGTCGCTTGCGGCTCCGCCACTGGCCAGGAAGGCAGTCGGCTGCAGTGGTGGGTGGCGGCGGGGCAGCGGGTGCGACGGCATTCTGGCAAATCGTGACTAATCTTAAGAATCGGCCGGCCCCGCCACCGGCTGTGTGAGGTGAGGTGGCTGTTTTGCCGCGGAAATGGGTGGAAAATTGGAAGCGACAAACATGCAGCAGCAGCAGCAGCGCAGCGGTCCGGTTACCTCTTCTGCACCGCGAGCGGGGCGTGGCGTGGCGGGCCGTTTTAGCAGCACATCGAACCGGTCAAAGCCCGCCCCCGGAAGTCAAGCAGCAGCGCAGGGTAGAGTGGTCAAAACGGGTCAAAAGGGGGCCAGTACATCCGCCCAGCACTCCGCCCTTCAGCTCGAGGCCCCTTCCCCCTATCCACCTACCCACCCCTAGCGGGTCCCGGAGGGCTTTCCCTCTCGTCCACCCTCACCTTGTCCTCCCTCCCCCCTGGGGCCGGACGACAACCCTGCTGGCCCTCACGGCCGCTCCCCCTCCCCCTCCGCTGCCCTGTTCGACCTTCAGCCCATACCTTCCCCTCCCTCACCGGCACGACGTCGTGTTATTGAGTTCGATAATAAGGACGGACCCCTGAGACGATCATGACTGCTTCTTCGATCCAATAATCCAGAAATTGATAACTGAAAAAAAAAGTACGGCGTTATTACAGCATTATTTCTATCTACACGTTAAGTATTGCGGGTAATTTTTTGGTGCCTGTGATTTATAATGGGAACATGACCACGAGCATGACCACATCGTGGACATGTCATGCGAAATGCAATGACGTGCTGATCGTTTGCGAGTCGTGGCCGCCTCCATCGGTTACCTGCGGCGCCCGTCGTGAACTGCCAATAACGGTTTGTTTATCGTGGCGAGCGCTGCTGAGCACGGCACACGACGCGTCACAAAGCGAACGCCACGGTGACGTGACGCCACGTGACGCCACGTGACGCCACTCGACGGCTTGACGTGCGTCGCCGCGTCACTCCCGAGCAGCAGCATCGCCGAGCAGCGCGGTGCTGAAGTGTAAGACGGAGCTAGCTGCTTGGTGCGGTGCGCGGACTCTCCGCCTGAAACTGCTGCCGCCTTACTTTATGAACAAGCACAGTCAGTGGCAGGTGGGTGGTGGTCGGCCACCACGACCGCGCCGCCGCCGCCAACTTGCGAAAAGTCGCGTTTATGCAGTGAGTCCTCTGGGTCCCTCTGCTGCTCCGCGCGCTGCTGCAGTGCTGCCAACGGCCGCGGCGTGATGATGTCGTTCTCGCTGTGCGTGCCGTGCCCGGCCGCGGGGCCGCGAGGCCACCACGCCGACGACACTGCCGCCGTAGCAGCCGCACCGTTACCAACAGTGCGAAAGAAAAAAAAAACAGCAGGAAAAAACAAACAAACAAAAATAAAAAGTTGTGTAGCGCCGCCGGGTTTGGCCATCGTACGTATATATCACGTTGCAAGCAGGGTGCCTGTTTGAGTAGAGGCAGTAGAGGTGAGAGAGGAGGTGACACGGATCGCCGTGGCATGTTGACACTTTTGCGTTAACAAGGGGTTATTCGCAAGGTCCGCTGTGAAGTCGAAGCAGCGAATGTGAGACATTGGCGCTATTACTTCAAGGGCCGTCTGTGCACCGCCCTCTGGCGCCGTCGTCGTCGTGGCCGAGCCGATTCGCCCACTGAGCTTGCCCATCCTTTTCGCGAACAGTCGTGCGGTGGCAGTGGCAGAGCAGTTATTGCCCGCCCCCCGCCCCCCTCGCGGGGCTCACGTGCCCCCTATGCTGTATCTCTGTCGCTCGCACGGGGCTGCAAGATTGTTGCTCGCTTTGTTGTTATGCCGGGCCTGGCCGCCGGTCGCCAAGCGACAATCGATTAGACGGGGCGTGGCGGGGCGTGGCGGGGCGTGGCGGGGCGCGGCGGGGAAGTCCGCGTGCCGGGCCGGGTGCACGCCACCGCGGCCACCGCGCCGCGCACTGCCAGGTGGGGGGGCGGGTGCGAGGGAGACGGCGTGCGTCTCGACTCGCGTGTGTGTGACGGAGACGTAACGCCAGGGGCGCGTGGCTGGCGGGCTAGGGGTAGTGGGGTTGAAGGACGGGCCGCGGCGGGCTGTTGGATATGCCCCCAATTCCGTAGCCCTCGTGGGCGCCGCCGCTGCGACCCGACCCCAGAGGGCGGCCTGGTAGTATAGGGCCCAGAATGGCCGAGCCGGCACTGTTATTTACCTGGGAAAAAAGAATGGACGTCATTTAACTGGCGTTTGAGTACCCCATGCCATGGAACTACTCTAAAGAGTAGTGCCTACCTTACGACGAGGATAGTTGTAACATGACAGTCGTAGTTGATGCTTGCGCAACAAATATGGATTCAGTCAGCAACAACATTGATGTCCGATAACAAGC